GCCACTCAACCCCCCCTGCCAGAGCAGGACCACCTAGAGTAGGTCACACAGGAACGCGTCCAGGTGGGTTTTGAATGCCTCCAGTGAAGGAGACTCCACAACCTGTCTGGGCAGCCTGTTCCAGTGCTCTGTCACCTTCACAGTGATCTCTTGGGATTCGACAGGTCATGGTAGAATTGAAGGGTGGAAAAAAAGGCCCAATTCCGTGAAACTCCTTTCATGAAAGTTTCCCTAGAGCTGAAGATTTAAGGCTCCTGTCGATCAACATGATTGAGGAATTTGTCTGAAGGAGACTCCACAACCTGTCTGGGCAGCCTGTTCCAGTGCTCTGTCACCTTCACAGTGATCTCTTGGGATTCGACAGGTCATGGTAGAATTGAAGGGTGGAAAAAAAGGCCCAATTCCGTGAAACTCCTTTCATGAAAGTTTCCCTAGAGCTGAAGATTTAAGGCTCCTGTCGATCAACATGATTGAGGAATTTGTCTTCCTCTGGATGTTTCTCTAGTCTTCCCTGGTTTCCACTGTTGACTGCTGTAAGGAAAGGATCTTTCCTCATCTTTGAAATATTGTTTTGGAGAATCACTTCTTCCTTAAGTATGTGAGATCTCGACCCAGCTTTATTTCCTTCTCACTTCTTGTTTCTTGTAATTTTGCAAATAGTGAAGTGGAAGACCTCAGGTGAAAAATGGTTTTTGAAAAATAGGTTACCTGTAAACTGAAGTGATCAGTGTTTGGTTTAAAGATGATTAGTGAAAGAGTTATTTGGCAAAGTGACCTTAACTGGAGAAATCAAAGAAAGTGGAAGGAAAACCTGCATATTTACATCTAGTGAAGAAAATTGCAAATTTGAGAACTTGCCATGCTCAAGAAAGAGGAGATGAGGATCTGGTAACTGAAGAAATAATATTAAAATCTTAAAAAAAAAAAAAAAAAAAAAAAAAAAAAAAAAAAAAAAAAAAAGATGGGAGAGGGGAGGCTGTACTCAATTGCACAGGCTTAAAAAGGAGAAATTGAGCAGGAATAAGGGGCTTGGGGAGGTAAGGCATATCCAATAAGTAGATCCAGTAACTAAACTGGTTTTGCTGGCTTCTTACTGAGCACAGAAGATGATATTTGAGGGGCGGGGGAGCTTGGTGGTTTGATTATTTTGTTGTTGTTGTTTTGTTTTGGGGGAATTTTTTTGGTGTGTTTTTTGGTTTTTGGGGGGGGCTATTTGTAAGAGTAAGTCATGCTTCACAAATCTATTGGAACACCTTGAAAGCGTCAGTAACAATTTAGATAAGAGATACCTGTTGATAAGGTCTACTTTGTACTTCAACAAAATCCAGCACCGAAGGTTTTTAAGCTAAGCAGACATGGTAGGATTGGGGGGCAGGAGGGATAAGATCTTCCATAGGAACTAGCAGGAGATGGTTCAAAGCTAACAAGAGTTGCTTGTTCATACAACATAAGCTGTGGATCTCCTTGCCAGAAAACATTGATTCTGAAATTTCAAACACTCTCAGAAAGCAATCTGACAAGTTTATGGACATAAAATCTACTGAGGGGTGTTAAAGATGAATATGCCACCTCTTGTTTGGCAACTCTTTGTATCACAAAGAAATGCAAATTTTGTCTTCTGAGGAAGAACATTTGCTTGCATGCTATGTTCTTGCACTTTTCCCTTGCATCTGCTGTTGCATTGTGCCTCTCTTCATGGCCTGGGCAAGAGGAGTTGGTCTTGCACAGTAAAGCTGTGGTTATGGTACATCCCTAATATATTAAGGAAATCTGGCCCATGTGGATTTGAATGGAAGCTGTGCCAACTAAGGAGTACTAGTGCACTGTGATCAATCTGCTGAGACTCTCAACCACTGGAGGTTGGGAAGTATATAAAGTAGAGACAAACAACCAAGTGAGGCAGAGAACGTAGGAACTGGATTTGACTTTTTACAGTTTCTTACAAGGCAAGGGGAGGAATAAGACTGAAGCAAAGGGAGCTGACTAGAAAACAGCAGTAAGTGGGTAACAGTGTAAGATGGGAATGTTTAAACATCTTGTTCAGAATTTGATTTGTGCTATAGGTCTCTACAATTTAGTGAGAGAGGTAATCTAGCATGTATGGAGAAGGACAGTAAATTTGACAAGATGGTAGGAGAGCTAAAGAGCTGTACTTATACAGAGTAGAAAGGTGACTCAAGGGGAAGGACAAGAATATGAGCTGCCTTTTTAAATATTGCATTGTAGTAGAATAAATACGAAGGAAACCTCTTCGGCTGACAGCCGGAAGTACTCTGAGTGCAATTTAGTGGAAAGAAGAAAGCAAAAATAAAAGTTAATCAATAGAGCCAAGGACTCTATAGAAATAATGTTAAGTGCATGGCTTCAGTACACACGTGCGAGTTTGCAGTGGAGGGGCCCTAGGAGCACTTATTCCATTAAGCCTGCTGAATGTTACTCTGAGTAGCTTCTCATTATGAATCCAGGTATGTGATATTATTGTTAGCTTGTAAGAACTAGATCAACTCTACAGTGTAGGTTCATGGTAGTTGTGCTATTTTCTATCTTGTTTAGTTATTATGGCACTGAAACTTTTTGCTAGAGCAGATTGCTTGCTAAATCCCTCTCTTCTGCTTTGCATACAGGACCCTTGTGAAGGTGTACTCATTTGTGGCATTAACTTTCCATTTGATCTGTTTGCTGACTGTGCTAAGCATAAAGAAGGCACCAGGAGTGCAAGAGAAGGGGGGTGGGCTGTGAACCCCTTGGAACAGCAAATCAAACTTTAAATCAATTTCAGCTTCTCACAAATCAGCACTGATGTGTATAGTACGTGAGAATGGTCAGTTCACAGATTTTCTTTCCTTCCCTAGCTATCTGTCTGTGACATGCATGCAGTGTTCTGGTTGGAGTGAAATTTTGGACAATTTCTCTGTTTTGAATTTGATTTATTTTTTATTTATTAACTTATACCGGTTCTGAAATTTGTGAATTTGTTTTTAATACAAATATTGAGGTGTAGGTTTGGGTTGTCCTGAAGTCATCCTACAAGCCCCAGATATATTAAAGGCTTAAAAATGTGGGTCTAGCTAGGCTTCATGCTGGGGTGAGCTCAGTGATTCGTTCCAACTCATGAACCTAAGACTGTGCAACCACTTATATGGACTCTTCTGAGATGCTAAAGCTGTCTGGATTCTTCAGCATAGTATGGAAGTATAGGTCTGAGTTTTAAAGACAGGAGTTATAATATCATCCAGTAGACATCTTTGATCAGAAGAGTGAACAGAAGTGATTGCAAGGAATCCCACATTTCCACTGGTCTGCTGCAAGGTAGTTTTTTACAGAGTTACAGGATTCTCTTTTTTTTCACCGGTGATGTCCTAACTTTCCAGAAAAATAAAGCTGCTACCATACTTGTTTTAAGGACTACTTTTCCTTCAGTGTATCAACTCATATGTATACTGTAAGCCGATACAATGACAAGAATGAGTTCCTGAGAGAGTTCTGTCTACTTCTTTGGGAAAGCGAGAGGAGAATGGGAAGGCATTGGACTGATGGACTCCTAATAAAGCAAGAGTGTGAAACGTGGGCTGGAGGGAAAGGTGAAAGTTACTTTAGCAAGTCATGATTCAGTCTTGCATCTTTGTCTGTATAGCACTGCATATGCTTGAGTAGTTGGTTGGAGTTTACTAACTTCTATATTAATGCAATTTTCTGGCCTTAGGCTCATAATCTAGCATTTCAGTTAAAGAATGACCAATAGCTTGAAACGCACTGGGGGGGGTGGGGGGTGGGGGCAGAAGTTGAGATACTTGGCGGTGAGTAAGGAGAGTTGCAGCTATGAAAAGCATGATCAGACGCAGGGAACACTTCTTCCTTTTGAGAGAGGTTTTCAGTTATGAGATAAATTCTTAAAATGTGGTGTGGTGTTTGATTTTGTTGTTGTTGTTTTTTAGTGTTACAAATTAGAAAACAAATTCCCACTTTTTGAGTCACTTGCACTGTTTTTCCTCAGCTGTTACCCTTTCTGCACACCCCAGACACTTTCCACTTGTATTGGTGTCCTTGGAATGTCTGCCTCAGGTATTTTCCTGTCATTTTTGGGAGACCCCCATCTCTGCTTACCTGGCTATGACAGGAACGTTTTTTCTTGCAAATCTGAAGTCCTGCTGTGATGAGAGCCAATTATTCTGTGACGTGTTTGCTTCCTGCTCTGGATCATGTTTAGAAGCCAGAGTGCTGCAGTCATAATAGTAATAAGCAACCTCCCAGCTGTCATGCCAGCTTCATAGACTTTCTCTAGTGTCAGCTCT